GCTGTGTAGCCAACTCACTTTGCCCCAAGGGGGAGAGAGAGGATGGGCTTAGGACACCACTTACCATGGTATTACTTACCCCTTGCATTGACGTATTAATGCTTAGAGCTGATTCATACGTAGGGGTACTGGTAGAAGTGGTTGTGGTGATGCTGGGCGGCCCCATGCTCAGGTTCAGGGGATCTGAATCGTACAACAAGAGCCATGCATGAATGTAAGACCTCAGGACACCTCGGCAATGGGCCTTCATCATAACGTAAAATATCGCTGTGGAGAGGGGGTTAGACTTGGGACAAAACTGCTGGTATACATGTTCACATACAGGTCATCAAAATGTCCAGCACAGTTTTGGTTTGCTAAGTAAAACCACAGTAATTTTTTTTGTTCATGTAGATGCAGTGGATATTGTTTAAAGAAGGTAGCTTTAAAATATCACCGTCTCCAAGATCCCTTGCACCTTACGCTAAGCCCACCGAAACTGTCATTTAATATCTTAATCACTTCAGAAATTAGATATCCTTTCCTATATTACAGGTTACTTGTACATGTATCATGGGTAGGAGTTACATATAATATTCCATGCAACTTTTGTCCTAAACAATACACGAACATCACGGGTAAACAAGGCAACGACATGGAACAGGTTATACTACAGTCAATGCCTTCTCATATCTCTAACATTAGAAATACTAGCATTGAACAAACCAACCTACATTTGAGGTGTCTGAACGAAGCAGCTCGAATGAGTTCACAACATACCACTTGCCCAAGGGCTAGGGGTAAAAGTGCGAGTTTAAACATTTGCAACAACACAGATGTCCACTCAACACATTCATGCACACATGACAGATGTTTTGTAATTGAAAAGTTTGATTGGCCTAATGCTGATATAGCTGAACAAAATGATTGCAGAAAGAGGATTTAGTACAAAAACAAAAATTTCTTTCGATTACAAAGCAAAAGCTTTGCAGTGGTTATGAATTCAGTTTCAATGAAGGCAGCTGCTTCAAGCGAAATCAAAAAGTACAGCCATTTGCACAAAATGGTCACATACCCACATCAGTCATACGAGAAACTGCTGGCCCATCGACCAAACCTTTGCCTTAGGCAGACTTCTTTGTAAAACTTCACTTTCCCTTCTGCAAAGACTCCAGGGTGCCTATCTCCAAAGCTAGCCTGGAATCATTTGGTTTGATGCTAAGTCAATGTCAAGCTCACACCATACAAAAAATGTTTGGTAAAGACTTTGGAAAGAGAATTAACATCAATGATGTTTCCAGGCTAGCTTAAAAGCTGAA